CTAATTTTTTTTATAAAATTTATTTTAGTAATACTTTGTGCCTTTAGTAGCATAGTATATTAACAGGAATTTTATTCCAAAAGCTTCTTTCTTGATACCAGTTCTAGAAAATTCGAGTTCAAAAGTTTCTGATAACTGGATCTACATGTATGCTGAGGCAAACTGCTTTAATACATAGCTTAATTTTACGATAATAGATTCTAAATGCAATTCTAAAATTGTGTTTACACTGACTTACAACTTTATTACCAATAAATAAATCAAATCATGATTAATTAAAAGTCAAAGCTCTGACAATATTACCATTATCAAATTCGTATGCTGTCAAATACATTTTCCTGGACATATAATACATGTACTAGAAAGTGTTTTCAGTCTATTGAAGATTTGTTGTCTTTTCTTTAAACTTGTTTACATTTTATTCAGATTAAAATTATTTTTTGTAATTAATAATCATGCTTTTATTTACCAAATTGCATACTTTAAATCTAAAAAATAATATGACATTTAATTTGAACATACTACATTGAGTGAAAGTAATATACCAACCTAGCATTTCTTTTATACATCCTGTAAGTAAGACTCAAAAATAAGAACTGAACATTAATTTTATGGATTTTTTTCTACTCGATAGGTGCTATGGATATAGAGGAGAGAAATCGCCAAATGAAAATTAACAAATACAAACAGGTAGCCGGATCAGATCCCAGACTGGAACAAGATTACCATTCGAAGGCAAGACATTTTTCTTTTTACAAGTTGTAAAATAATCAGTTAATCATATGAAACAGATTCTTTTAAACTGCAGATTAGTCAGACACGAACATATAATGCAATGGCCCCATGATATTATTAAGTGCTAAAATTTATAATGTGTTTATATACTAGATCTTAGGAATAGAATTTGCCTTACTTAAAAATAAAGCATAACGTATAATATAGGAGATTAAAGATCTGAAGGACAAATCTTTTAGAATTTTTCATTTTATAAAACTCAAAACCCCTCAAAATTGTTTAGGAAGAACTTCTATTATCTTCTTATTGCTTTCTTTCATATAGGTATTTCTCCTATTTATAGTATTTTAATTGAACCTAGTTTATTATTGAATTATTAGAACAAAATACAAATGTTCCTTGGTTTATGATGTTTCAAGTTATGAGTTTTTGGCTTTAGGATAGTGCAAAAACAATACACATTCAGTAGAAATAATGTTTCACATTTCAGCTGTTCTGTTTTTCATTATCAGTAAAGTATTCAATAACTTACATTAACTATTCAATACTTTACTGCCAAATAGGCTTTGTGTTAGATGATTTTGTCCAATTGTAGGCTAATGTTAAGTGTTCTGAGACTGTTTGATGTGGACTAGGCTAAGCTATGATGTTTGGTATGTTAAGTGTATTAAATGCATTTTCGACTTAGGATATTTTCAAGTTACAATGGACTCATTGGTATGCAACTCCATCATAAGTTGAGGAGCATCTGTACATACTCATGAGGTGTTGTGAGGAGTTCAAAAGGTCTTTTAGTATGAATCTTTTTGAACTACTTTTTGGAAATAAGTTGAAATATGAGTTCTATCAAGGTAAGAAGTAAAGAGTATTATTTCATTGCTCTTGTCCTTCATTACCTTTATATTTTCAAGAGATTTTTAGGTTCAAGATATCATTCATGGCCAAAATTATGAAAATACTTTGCTCTGATGTACGTATTTAAATATAAGAATGAAAATAGGAAAATTTACTCATAACATTTAGCTACTATGTGCTCTCTTAGTCATTTAATTGTTGCAATTGTAGTATTTGTGGTCTCTGTATATTAGAGAAAAGTAGTTTGGATTCTTATATACTTACATCTATTTTATCCTTACATACTTAACCTTTATTTTCTCTCTATTATATTCCATTCCTTGGTGAAATCAAGAACTTATTAAGTAAAGCATTAGTCACTGTGTTGAGTACGAATATTTAGGAGGTAGGACCAGGTTCTAATTTCTCCACTAATACAACCTAGAAGGGGCAGAGATTCTTACATCAGCATCTGCTTCGAAATCACAAATCTCTTCCCCAAATTACGTGAATACTGACATGATGAATGCAAGATTGTTCATCACAGAATTCTGGTGTACTGGAAACGTCACAGTCCGAAAGCCAGAGAGAAGTAAATTTAAGACAAATAAAAATAACCTTGGCATTATTCAATAGGTTCTAAACATCTAGAAATTTTTCACAAAAATGAGAATATGAATAGATTCAAATAGGCACAGTAATTTAATAGAAAA